TTTAAATTATATATATATATATCTCCCCTTCCTTACCTTTTCTGCTGATATGAACTGAGCCCAAGTGTTGTCTCAGTCTGTGAAAGGAAGAAAACAATGGTGAAAATACTGAAACCAAATCTTTATACAACAGATATATGAAATACCCACAGTATTTTACTGTAGTTTCAGCTTTGTTATAATACTTACCTGGATTTTCAGGTTAAACCTGATTCCCAAATCATACTAAATGATCTGTCACACTATATATAAGTGTCCTCTGCTTTTTCTAAGTTCATATTATGTCACTTCAATTTACAAAGGACCTATATCAGTGCCTGTTTTCGCTAATCAAAAAAAAAAAAAAAAAAACCCAGAGAATTTTCACATTTACAAGAAAAGGAGAAAGTGAAAACAGTATTCGGCACCTGTTCCATAGCAGCTTTTATAGAGTACTGCCCCCACCCCGCCGCCATCAGCTCATTCCCAGGGCCACACTGGGCCCCTCGGCACCTGGCCCCAGGGCTCTGAGTGTGTCTAGGAGCCTCAGAGGCTCATCGCCACTGATTCTGTGCAGGTCCCAGAAAAGTTTCAAAGCTTGTAAGGGTGTTTTGCTCAGCATAAAACTGGACATGATTAAGTGTTGCAATCATGATGAACAAAACAAAGATGTTGTGCCTGCACTGAATTTTGAGTCTAGGAACACTCAAAAAATTTCCCGTAGAAATTACTGGTAAGTGCTTCTTTGCTTTATGTCATTTCGGCTTACGGAAGGTTTTACAGGAACCTCTACTTTCAGAGAGCGCGGGGACCTGTAATTCAAGTGCGAGAGTAACTGGATTACATTGTAAACACTCATGGAAATGGTACAAAGTCACATGGCTGGTTTGTCAAAGTTCACCAGACCACCATCTCTGATGAGAGAAGCCCTCCTCATAACTGCTTCGTGAAGCTGCGGGGCCTCTCGCCTTCAGTGCTCGCCACCGGGCACTGCTGGAGTAGGACAGACAGGTCCTTTGTCGTGAAGCTCAAGGCGTGGGAGGCGGGGGAGTAGTCCTAAAGCAAATATGTGTTCACACGCTGAGTAAGGGGCTGTGGAAACAATGGACAGGCGCTGTGTCAGAGAACACACAGATGACAGCCAGATAGATATACCAAGGGCAGGCCTATGTGCAGACACTGTCCACACTAAGCCTGATGAGAAGAAGGGCCCGTGGGCACAGAGTCCCCACACGGGGAAGGGCTGGACGCCCAAGAAACAAGAGCAGATCTGCTTGGCTGGAGCCTCAAGGGAAGGGGGGAGAAGAAGAAACAGGCCGAGGGAGGCCAGGCCAGATGCCCTCGCACTCTGGGCAGAGGCCTGGACTGCTTCTTCCAAAGGCAACACATGGGTCTGGAGGAGTGAGAGAGACAAAGACAGACGTGGTTCTGAAGACATTGTTCTGGATTTAGTGTAGAGTGAGGATTAGAGGAGGACAGAGAAAGCAAGAAGTTGGGAGGCGAATGATGAAGGAAATTAAATGCTTAATAATGAATGATGTGTGAGAAACACTAAAACTCTAAGGAATACCATCAGTGAACTTATCCTAAAAGGTTAGCCTCTACATTACAATTGGAAAAAGTAGCAAAGTTATGGTATTATTTTTTCCCATTAATGTTATTTTAAGATGGTGTTCTGGAGAATGTATATGGGGAATATGACACATCTTAGGAAATGTCCTTAATACAAATGACAACAACAACAAACCTGATTTAAAAATGGAGAGGACTTGAATAAACATTTCTCCAAAGAAAATATACACTTGGCCAGTAGGCACATGAAAAGATGCTCAACATTACTAATTATCAGGGAAACAGAAATTAAAACCACAATGAGGTATGACTTCACTTCTATCAGGATGGCTATTATAAAACAAACAAACAAAAAAACAACAAAAAGAAAAAACAGAAAATAATAAGTGTTGGTAGGGATGTGGAGAAGTTGGAACCCTTGTGCCCTGCTAGTGGGAATGTAAAATGTGCTGCTGGTTTGGAGAACAGTATGGAAGTTCCTCAAAAAATTAAACAATTAACATATGATCCAGGAATCCCACTTCTGGGTATAGACTCAAAAGAACTGAAAGCAGAAAGCATATGTCCATCCAAAGACTCGTACATGAATGTTTATAGTAGCTTTAGCTGTAATAAGTTAACAGTGAAACAACCCAAATTTCCACTCAACAGGTGAGTGGATACATGAAATGTGTTATATCTACTCAATGAAATGGTACTCAGCCATAAAAAGAATAAACAAGACTGGGAACCTTGTTTTTTCCATTAAATATTTATTTATTTTTTTACAATATGTATTATTTTTAAAAGAACAGAAAATAACATTTGAGTGAAAAAAAAGAATAAACTATTAATAATATACAACATGGATAAATCTCAAAATAATTATGCTGAATCAGACCCCCCCAAAAGTATACTCTGTATGATTCCATTTTTATAAAGTAGTTTAAAAAATAAACTGATAGAGAAAGAAAGCAGGTCAGTGGTTGCTCAGAGATGGAGAGTGAGGGATCACCAAGTGTCATAAGTAAACTTTTTGTGGGTGATGGGTATGTTCATTATCTCGATTGTAGGGATGGTTTCACAGGTGTATAAATACGTCAAACTTTTCAAACTGTACACTTCAAACACGTACAGTTCATTGTATGTCACTATACTTCAAATAAAGAGCATAATCCAACCTTCCTAGAATGGCAGAACTGGCTCCTATTTGAGGTTGACAAAAGGGGCTCAAGACGTGTGTCATCCACGTACACTTTGAAAGAAAAAAAATCCTCATGAAGACAATCAGGCCAAAAGATTACTCATGAAGAACTGCAAATGAGGAGACTATCTTATGAAAGATAAGCAGATACTCAAGGTAAAGGAACTGTGGAAATAAAGTTAGAATAGCAAAACTAAATGTTTTTGAAGAATAAACCACAAAACAGAAAAATAATCATTGAACTATAATAAAAACAGAAATCTCAGGACATGTCAACAACGCACCCTAAGTACTGAGAGAAGAGAAACCACGACAGGAACTATTCTATTTCTAAAGTAATCATTTCAATCACAATATTCGAAAATCATCTAACTGAACATGCAAAGGCTCATTTCTGGGCTCTTGGCTCTACTCCTCCAATCTGGATGTCTGTCTTCATGCCAGGAGCACTGTTTTGATTATTGTAGCTTGTAGTAAGATTTGAAATCAGGATGTGAATCCTTTGGCTTTGATCTTCCTCTTCAAGGATATTTTGGCTATTCGAGGTACCCCGAGTTTCTATATGAATTTTACAATGGGTTTGTTTGTGTCTGCAAAATATATCATTGAAATTTTGATAGAGATTGCACTAAATCTGTAAATTGCTTTGGGTAGTATTTACACCTTGATATTAAGTCTTACAATCCATGAACATGGGCTGTGTTTTAACTTATTTATGTCTTCTTTAATTTCTTTCAGCAGTGTTTATAGACTTCATTGTACAAGTCTTTCACCTCTTTGGTTACTTCCTAAATATTTTATTCTTTATGATGCTACTGTAAATGAACTTGTTTTTCTAATTCTTTTTTGCATTGTTGTTAGTATATAGGCAAACCTCATTTTATTGCGCTTTGCTTTATTGTACTTCACAGATACGATGTTTTCATCAACATCAAGGCAAGACCTTCCTCCACCTGCAAAAAATTACAACTCACTACAGGCTTAGAGAATGATTGGCATTTCTAGCAATAAAGTATTTTTAAATTCAGGTATGTATATTGTTGGGGTTTTTTTTAGACAAAAGCTATTACACACTTAATAGACTACAGTACAGTGTAATGTAATTTTTATGTGCATTAGGAAACCAAAAACTTCATGTGACTCACTTTACTGCGGTGGTCTGGAACCGAACCTGAACTGCCTGAGGTGCGCCTGTAGTACACCTGTGGTGTAGTACATGGGAGGCTGAACACACCTCCCCTAGTTCAGCCTCCTTCAGCAGAAATGTTGAAGCCCTGTCAAGTCACCTGGATGCTTGAACACTTCCAGTAACAGAAAATTCACTTCTCCCAGGGAAACAAAACTACATTTGGTTCTGAAACTGTTAGCTTTGATTTTAATACTCTGGGTTAAAGTAAGTTGACACTTTTAGAGCAAAACTTTTTAAAAAGGTTTGTAATCTTCGATGACCATTTTAATAGAAAGAAATTTTAAGACAGAAAATCTCTTTATCCTCTTACTAGTCTTTTTCTACAATTTGAACTGTTTTCTTTGTGTGCATGTATGAGAAAATATTCATTTGAATTATCTCTCCTGCCTAAAATGTACTTCTTCAGCACTTTACATTATCTCTTTTAAGTAAAAAATACATACTGATTTTTGTGTGTTGATTTTATATCCTGCTACTTTGCTAGTTCTAACAATTTTTGTAGCAACTTTAGATTTTCTACATGTAAGACCATATCATTTGGAAATGGACAATTTGTAAGCCTTTCTTTTTCTTGCCTAAGCAGTCTGGCTAGACCCTCCAGTACAATGTTGAATAGAGTGGGCATCCTAGCCTTGTTGACTTAATGGAAAAGCTTTAATTTTTTTCACTACAGAGTATGATATTCACTTTGGGATTTCCCTATATGGCTTTTATTATGTTGAGGTAGTTTCCTTCTGTTCCTGGTCTGTTGGGTGTTTTTACCACGGAAGAATGCTGAATTTTGTCAAATTTTTTTCTGCATCAATTGAGATGATCATGTGGGTTTTGTCCTTCATTCTGTTAATGTGATATGTTACACTAATTGATTTTTGTATGTTGAACCATCCTTACATTCCAGGGATAAATCCCACTTTTTAATATATCAGTCTCTTAAATCATGTAGAAAACAAAAAGTGGAGTTTCAAACCATTGTTACAGTAACACTAGCTTTTATAACTGCCCATGTACTTACTTTCACTGACATCTTTGCTTTTTCATATGGCTCGAGATGCTGTGCTTTCATTTTAGCTTGCAGGACTCACTTTAGTGTTTTCTGCAAGGCAGGGCTATTGGTAGTGAAGCCCTTGGCTTTTGTCTGTCTGGGAATGTCCTAATTCCTCTCTCACTTGTGAAGAACAGTTTTGCAAATCCTTGGTTTAAAGTTTTGAATGTACTGGCCCACTGCCTTCTGGCCTGCAGAGTTTGTGATGAGACATCTGCTGGCAACCTTAATGGGGATCCCTTGTGTGTGATGAGTCACTTCCCTCTTGCTTTCAAGATTCTCTCCGTCTTTCAGGCGTTATCTGTTGTGTGTGTACAAAAAAGACCTCTCAGACCAGCCTACCTTCTGTGCTCACCAATTAGGAATTTATCTCTTTCCACTAAGGCAACCCTGTCAACCCTCAGGCAACAGGGTAACAAATGTAAGAGCTTTGGAATCAAGCTTGCTTCTTATTCCTCCCGTACCCCTTATTAGTACTGAGATTTGGAGCAAATTAATGAGCTAGCTGAGACTCCAACAAGTGCTCAAAAAATGCTACTTGCAGCTGTCGCTGCCTTCCAGCCAGGGTTTCCTACCCTGGGCTCTGCAAAGTCGAGTGAGTAGAGATATAAAATGCATGTAAGATATGAGAACAACCAGTGAATGCACAATGAGCACTCAAATAATATTTATGACCACTGTTTCCTGGCCAAAGTTAGAATACAAAATTATGGATTCCTATAGTTACAGGCTTTAAAAGAGCACACCAAACTCTGCACGTGCTCTCAACTCATGAACACTATGGAGCCTGCCTTCCAAAATCTTAAAATTCTGTTAATTATTCCGGCAGAACAGTGAAGGAAATACAAAGCTAGACTTTTCCTTGGGCTTTGTCTTCATCTGTTTATAAGAAAGTTAGATTAGGAAATAGATTAGTGCTTTTAGATAAAAGAATATCTTTTAAAATTCAATTTTACAATCTTTCAAAGGGATAATAAGTCAGGAAGAGCCAACCACTCTGATCAGCCAGGACTTTCGGAATGGTTTGAAATACAGCCAGGACCTCGTATGGTGAGGAGTCTTCATGCACATTTCTTCTGTTGAGATGGGGAAGTGCTTGCTCTGTGTTCATCTTAGGACCTTTATACATGCTATACACCCAATCTTAGTAGTCTTGCCGAGCAGGAAGGACAACGGCCAAAGCACCAACTGTAGAAAATGTGGGCTAAGAGGACTCCTACTGTGTTGAATCACAACCTAAGGCTATCAGTGGTGACCCATGGAATATGCTGCAGAGCAGCATGTGTGCTGTGCTGTGGAAAGAGTACTGAAACAAAACAGGCTACTTCCCGGGGGTTGGGTTCCTGCTCTAGCAACAGAATATTGAGCAAATTATTTAACTTCTATGAGTCTGTTTCCTTATCTTAAAAAAAAAATCAAAGCAAATCCAATCTCTGTAGCAATTTTTACATGAGTTTTGGCTATTTTTGCTGACTTGTCATCACCTAATTGTTGAGTTTAAAACAACTGCTATGATCCCAGGCCACATGAGCATAAAGTAAGTTCTAGGATCTGGGAAGGAATGATCTCAGGCAAAATTCTCATTTTAAATACCTTTGCCTTGACTCTTTACCTGCTTTAGCTTTGATTTAATTTGGAGAAATCTGATATAAACTCTGCTACAGGTACATACTTCTGTTCTAATTGTACCATAAGAAACCAGGTGTTGTTTAAGAATTAGCTAAACCTATTAGGAAATTATCATCGGAAAGAATGACATTATGTCAAAACCAAAGCTGTTCCTAGGAACCATCCTTCAACATTAAACAATTTTTATGCATCTATTCCAAAGGGTCTTATGTCCCGGTACTTGGGGACATATAACATGGCACTTTAACACTGGACATTCTGCAGGAGTCTCAGTGAGGTTTTATGGTGACTGAGGTAACCACCTGCCCCCGGCACTTTTCCAGTCCAAAATCACCTCTGCCACAGAACTCTGAGGTCTCAGCCAAGCTCTTGTCTGAGTGTTTCAGGGGACCCAAGAGTATGAACAAACCACAGTCAAATCCACTTAGATATGGACAACCTCCCATAGCAAAAATACAAGTCAGGATTCATAACTTTCTAAATGAATGAACAACCTGAAGTCTAGATGTCTAGTCCCTAAAGGTTACGGACCCTTTCTCAATCAACAAAGAACAACGACACTTGGAGAATGCCCCAGAAATCAGCCTTGATTTCCCTGCCAGCCAGATCCCGCAACCACCCATCCGAAGGGAGATATTTAAAACAGTCATTCCTATAGGTTCTCTGAATTCTCACCATGTAAGAGATTAAAAGAACTAGAGGGGAAAAAGGACAGATCATTTTCTACTAAGAAGGCATTACAAAATTAGAGATCTTTATATTATCTTTAGTTTTTATAGAGTCTCAAAATATAAAAGCCTTGCAAAGACTTTCTGCAAGTACCATGCAGACACTGCCTGTTGTGTCTTTCAACATCTCATATAAAGGTATGAATGATACATTTATTTAAAAATGTAAAAGCATTGTTAAAACATTGTTAAAAGCATTGAAAAAACGTTGTTATCCAGAACACTTATTTGCTTCATTGTCTGAGAAAAAGAACCTTAAAACATATCACTTTTTATCTTGTTCTGTTTGGCTAATGTCTGAAATCTAAATTTATGCTAAAATGCAAATAGAAATCTTATTCCAGGTCCCTAGCAGAATTATTTCTCTATAGCCTTAATGTAACTTTAATTTTTACCCTCCTGTCTTTATTATAAACTACAGGAAATATTTCTGCAGCACTGTTTAAGTCACATATTTAGTTATAAACAAGTAAACAAATACATCATAGGCAGCATCATGAACAGCGAAACCAACAGTCACACCTAGAGTGAGAAGATCAGAACTACAGTGCCAGTCCACCACAGTCATGGGGTCTTGGGCGACTTTCTTAATCTAAAGCCTGGTGTCCCTTGAATATAACGTGAAGAAAAAATGATCAGTCATGCTACCAACTAACACGGTACCTGGAAACAAATGCTATCACTACAAAGTGGTAAGTACTGTAAGATAAGCATAGACTATGACAACAGTTTGGAAGAAAGGACGAAACATCTCAGCTATAAACATCAGAAGATTGGTTAAGATGGCTTTTACTGTCCCTTTCATCTCTGAAAGTCCAGAACAGATTTTTAGCTGGGAAGACTAAACAGGCTTTTTGGTGACATCTAAGTGGGGTCGGAAAGGGATGGACAGGGTTTTATCAGGTTACACTGCTAAGTTTATGTAAAATACATTTAAAAATGGGCTTAGGATGGCAAGCGGAAGGGTGACATAGACATAAACCTACAGAACTTACACTCTCTAGAGAAGCTCTCATCTAGATAGATATTTTGAAGGCCGACATCCGAATTCAGTGTTTCACTCACTGGCTCCACACACGCAGAGCTCACTACCGACTCTAGAGCTCCTGGTCTGACTCCCCCCAGCCTCCCGACACCATCCAGAAAAATGCCTTAAAAAAATTTTTTTTTCAATTTATTGGGGTGACACCAGTTAATAAAATTACGTAGGTTTCAAGTGTACAACTCAATAACGTCATATATTTATTGCACTGCATGCGCATCAAAGTTAAATCTCCTTCTGTCACCATATATTTGACCCTCTTCACCCATATCTCATTCAAAAGATCATTCCTATAGCTAAGGAGGTTTTTATATTACCAACAACTCTGCTTACCGACCTGCATGTAAAGCTCATAAAATATATTTCACAGAAGCCATTCATATTTAAAAAAAATAAAAATCAGATATTATTTAAGGCTTGACAAAGATAATTCTTCAACTTAAAATAAAATTACCTGTAGTAGCCCTCCATCATCAAAACGCAGTACTTCTATTATGCTCTCCGACTGGATAAATGCTGTGAAGGCAATGAAACATACTATTACTTGACAGAAACATAAATTTTATTTAAATAAATTTTATATTTAAAAAATACATACTATTACTTGACAGAAACATAAATTTTATATTTTAAAAATACACTGCTTGATGATGATAAAGAGAGAAATGTGACTAATACATCAGGATTTTAGCAACAATGAAATGCCTTAAAATAAAACAATACAACCCAATTAGAAACTAGTTTTAACAACCTACAGGCTATGTAAACCACCTGCAAAATACCTATTCCTACTATACTGCCAGTTTAGGTCACATATTTACTTTACTCAAATTCGACTAGACGCAGGTGATTGTTGTCACCGATAGATTATTGGCAATACCATAAGCACACAGAAAGATCATTAGAGTGTTATATTTCCCTCAAAAATGATAAATTGACATTTTATTTGTAGGGCTGATATGACCTGGGATCAATATTCAAAAGAGACTTGGGGGGAGAGGGGCAAGGAAAATGGCAAAAGTCTATTCTGTTCCAAGAAAATGAGCACAAGGCAAAGCCAAGATATTTAAAGAGCTTACACATTTTTACCATACAATCCAGCAACTATGTTCCTAGGTATTTATTTACCCAACTGACTTGAAAACTTATGTCCACATAATGATCTGCATGTAATTTTTTATGGCGGCTTTATTCATAATCATCAAAAACTGAACATAATCAAGATGTCCTTCAATAGGTGAGGACAAACTGTAGAGCTCCACACAATGGACTATTAGTAACTGATAAAAAGAAAAGGCTACATACTGTATGTTCCAAGTGTATGACATTTTGGAAAGGTAATACTATACAGATGGTAAAAAGGTTAGTGGTTGCTAGGGGTTTGGGAAGAGAAAGGGCGGGCTGAAAAAGTGAAGCACAGGAAACTTCTCAGGGCAGTGAAACTATTCTGCAAGACGCAGTAATGGATAACATGACACCATGCGCTTGTCAAAACAGAATTCTACAACACAAAGAGTGAACCTTATACGATTAAAATCATTTGGGAGATCAGGGGATCCCAGGATGGAATGCAGAATGTGACAAAACAACTTAACTATATTACAAATGCATGAAACCAACTCACTGAAGGGGGTGGGGAAGGAAAAGATGCTGATCTAAGAAATTTGGAAATGAGTGGAATCTGTAAGGCTGCAGGTGAAAGAAATCACATAAGCACTGAAATCTAGCTGACAAAGCCATTTCCCATAGGGCTTAAAAACCTGGATGCTGATATAGGTACACAGGGACCAAATGATTACATACGTGGTGGTGGACAGTGGGAGTCAGGAGGAGCAGCACGTAAACAAAAGTGAGAGAAGGAGCTGCACTGACCCATGTGGTCATGGATCAGTGTTGGCAACCTCAGCATGAACTCATGTTTAGCCCAACACAGATGCAGGAATGTGTGGGTGTGTGTACACACAGGTCAGTACACACACACATCTAGCTGTCAGCTGATAGGACCTGGAAGTGATGACACCCCAGTAGCAAAGAGCACACCTAGCACTTAGGTCTTGGTTTCTGATACTACTCTCGCTGAAAAGGAACCAGAGCTTCTTGGATAAGTGGCTGAATCTAGGGCTGGGGCAGGAAACACACAAGATGAAACTGGAGCTCTTGTGGTGCCAGAAAGTGCTAATTAAAAGCAAAAAAACCTACACTGATGGGAATATGTCAAAGGGACATAACAGTTAACACCAGAAAGAATTCCCAAATGGCCAAAGCTGAAACAACTTGAACAATAAATCATGGTATTGGATTATAATCTGAAGAATAAATGTCCACGAGTCCATACTGATAAAAATAAATGACTGAATATATACATAAGTAGGGGAAGAGACAAACTCCTAGGCAGAAGAATTAAAAATAATTTACGTAGAAAGAAACTCTTCTATCTAGATGGTGGAGTGTAATGCCCCAACTTCTTAACCCTGGTTTGCACATAGTGACTTTCTTCCAAAGAAAATAGTATGGAGAGAAATAAAAGGTAACTTCACAGTGGAGACACCTGACAAACATTACCCCAGTAAGGTGATCAAGGTCAATATCCACAGGGCAAAGTCATGCTGACAGTATGTGCCTTTGATATGACATTTCTTAAAAATGGCACTTTATCTCTCTGGTCTTCCTCCTCAAATCACTTAACCCCAGTCTCATCAAGAGAAAAATATCAGACAAATCTCAACAGAGGAGCATTCTACAAAGTGCCTGGCTAGTACTCCCGAAAACTGCCAAGGTCATCAAAAACAAGAAAAGTCTGAGAAACTGTCATAGACCAAAGGAGTCTCAGGGGCCACAACTACCAAATGTAATGGGGTATCTTGGATGGGACTCCATAAAAGAAAAAGAAAATTAGGTAAAAGCTAAGGAAATCTGAATAAAACATGAACTTTAGTTAATAACAACAATACTTTATAATAATATGTTCATTAATTATAAAACAAAGTACCATAATATTAGGGAAAAGTGGAGGGGGTATAAGAACTCGGTACTATCTTTGAAATTCTTACATAAAATTGAGATTGTTCGAAAATAAAAAGTTATTTTTAAAAAGCACAAAACAATAATACTTCATCTGGCCAAACAAGGCATTTACTGACTCCTTTTCATTAGCCTTTGGGTGGCCAGGGACAGGCTCACTGTCCAGTCCCAGGTACTTGCCTTTTCCAGTAGGGCTGAGGCTGAGAGCCAAGCAGCAGGGTGAGAAAGCAGCTAGTTTACAGAAGTGGATGGAGCATGCTCTTCCCTTATTCTCGTAACCACATCCTGGTTTTATTCTGGGAAACCCGCATCCTCCATTTCTCAGGCTTCTCTTCATCCAGAGCCAACCCGTGCATAAAATTTCCTGGGGCCGAGAGACCAAGAGGAGCTGACAACTCCATCATTACATCTAGAGTTCATTAAGGGAACTTATAGACAAGGAGCGTCACCATCAAGGACAAAGATATCCTCCATGGCCTGTGGCAGGTGCTGAAGAGTTCTACAGAGCAGGACAGGATGGAAGGGGTGCTGGGCGTGACTGCCCCCCAATGCAGAACACTGCACAGGCCAGGCCCGGGTGGGGCGAGGGCCTGGGCCCAGGGATGGGTCAGTCACTGTCTCTGAGGGGGTTTACGGGTGCAATCTCTGTTCTGTCCTGGATCTGGCTTGTGCATCCAGCAGCACTCCCCTCATGGGACAGTCCCTTCTCCACACAACCTGTTCTACTCCTGCTCATTCCCCACCAGTTACTATATAGAGAACACGCAATGGATGAATGTGTGTGCATGGATGAAATTCACCTCTGTGCTCAGGTGTAACTATTGGTATTTGCACTCATTGATCCATGTGACCTCTTCCTGGTTGCTGTCTCTAGTCCTGGCTTGTAGCTGAATTTCAAAATTGAGGCCAGAGATGACAGCAGTAACAAGATCACGGATAAAGTGAATGTGGCGTGCGCAAGAATGTATCTGAAAAAAGTGAAAAGCTATTCAGAAGAAAGGACCGGGAGGGTAAAAGGCTCTGTCCAGCTCCTGCATCCCAGTTCTCATCCCTTTCCTCATCTTTTAACATAAAATGAAATTTCAAATTATCCAGAAAATCTTTGTTATACACCTGCTGAAGACAGATTTATTGATGTAAAAACACAATGAACTAACAAGAATCAATTAAATAGCCTGATTCTCTTAATGTAAGAGAGTAGTAGTAGAAACTCCCGGTTAGAAGCTTTCTGTTTAGTAACAGAGGAAACCAATGAGAAAGTACTGGAAACACAATGCATCTGGTGGCTGCTATAACAGATACGATATGCAACCACTGCATAAGTTCTCATCATCGAGCTAGATCAGATCTTTATCTCACTGGTGAGAACTTAATTAAATAAAAATAAAGGCAGTAGCATAATTTAGATGTACAGTATTTTTAATTAGGAGCTTTTTAAAAAACATGAATTAACTTAGCTGGAAAAAAAAATAATAGCAGCAGCTGACATATAAAGTCCTAAAAGGAAAATATTGTTACACATCGTGAGCTTTCCTTGAAAGATGTAGAAACGAATAGGATTCAACTCTCTGACATGAAACAATACAGGACATATTGCTTTAAATGATCAATTATAATAACTTTAAATTAGATGCCTAGAAAAAAAGGCACTGACACTAGATATATACTTAATCATTTAATGTGTTAGTTATTAAGCTATAAAATATGAAAAGTAACCAAAGCAAGTCAAGTTCCCACATCCCCACATCTTTGGATTTGAAACCACAATTGACAGCTACTTTCTCTCCCGAGAATTCCCTCCCCCCAATTTTATACTCCAGACAAATCTCAAACAGTTCCAATGCTCCCTGGTTCAAGCAGCAACCAGATGGAATAGAAATAAAAATAACATCTAATAATTATTGGTCACTGTTAGTAGGCTTCAAACAACCTAATCCTGTGATGGAGACAATGGGTCTTATTTAAAGGTAAACAGGCACAGTGAGGTCACGCTCCAGGTCACTCAGCAAAGAGAGTGGCCATGGATGGACACAAATTTCACCAGTGGGGCCCCAAAATGTATGCTTCTAAACCCCTCACTATTTACTTTCAAAGTAAATGTGACATTGATGCTTCCAATTAGCAGCACCATCAAACAACCTAATTTTAAAAATTAGGCACATGTTATTTTCAATAACAAACAAGGCAAAGAGTGTATGTACACAAAAGAGATTTCTGTGGGCCTTGTTGAGTCGAAGGGCATTTACTCTGTGAGGCTGGGCTCTCCAAGATCTGCTGTAGGCTCCTCAGACCAACCACATTGCTGTGATGTCTGAGTAACACAGCCACTTATCCTCCGTGTGAAAATCTCAATGTGTCAGTTGTTTAATGACTCACTTTCAAAACAGAAGTTCAGAAATTGAGTTTATTTACTTCCCACTTCCCCACTTCATTTAGTAAAGAATGACATTAACAAGATAAAAATACCTTCACTTTAAAGGCAAATCTTTCTCTAC